TAATACAGTAAAATAAGTTCAATTAAATCGCATCCTTTATTTAAACTGTTAATTTATAAGATACAAGGATGCGTACCATTTTTAATTGCAATTGAATTATTAATTAAAAATATTTTCTTCCCGTCGCATATAACAATAGAAAAACGGATTTTTTCGCATTCAATCGATTCGGCATTGTTTCGCGGGATTTCGACTAATTTCACCGTTTCCATTGAATTTCGGATATTAATCAGCGTTCCGTGGATAGATCACGGTCACCATTGTTGCGTGCAACAATGGTGGACGCGTCGATCAAAAGGAATTCCGGCCGCCGTTTCCTCGGCAGCTTCTATGAGTTCCCGCTCGATTAATTTAAAAGAATTGGCCAGTGGCGCTTTCGAACTCATAACAGATCGTGATTGCGATGAGGGTCGGGGCGCGCGGGAAGGGAATCGGGGGTGTATAGAAGTAGGGTGGGGATTCGAGCGAAAAATTACAAATGATAATCACCGAAAATCCGGAATGCCCGCAGCAGTGCTGATGCCGGCGCCGGTGTGAACGACGACGTGCCTCGCCGCCTGTATCCAATCGGCCAGGAGGCCGCATTTCAGTCGTAACGCCTCGACGCTGTCGTATCTCTACGAAAGAAAGAAAAACAAAATGATAAAACGAAAACAAGTTTCGCACGTCCGGTCGTGGCGAACGACAAAAGTGTCGTCGGATGGCCGACTCCCGCCAAACAAAAAGCTGATCGCGAGCCCGTCGATCATTTTTACCTCTTCAAGGCCCAGAACTCCTTTGTCTTCGTACTCGGAGAGACCGTCCGCGTAGCTGCATGACATTTTGCTCACGTAAAAAATGTTCCAAGATTTTCGACCCGAGAACCCCGTAGTGCACGACGCTAACAATGGCACGATCGTGTTTTTTATAGCGCGGAAACTGGTATTCCGTGCACGATATTACCGGGTTCCCATGTGTCGGACGGCACGTAAACAATTTGTAAGTTAATGACCGCGTGCTGTTATGTTTATACGCTACGAATGACGATAAGTGATAGGAAACTCGAGATCCGCCGAGAACACATTCTGTTTTATAGACTGCACTGCATGCAATGAAATGGCACTTGAACAGAAAGAAGATAATAAACGTGCGGCGCGTGCGCTGTAACGGCGCAACGGTGGTGCAGGGTATAGCGCTGTGGACGCTTGAGTTTCTCGCGTCCATTCAATTCATGCCACGGACACCCAGCGTCACCTTTCAACTGTTAACACTGACTAAATCCTCTACGCGGTAACGTTCGAAAATAGTTAAAGGCTAACTGCGGCATCCTGGTATTTCAGATCCTACCTAAAATTCAAGCCTGACTCAGATAGGAAAAATGGAAAAATATGACAATTAGTAGGTTTGACGAAACAGGTAAAAAGCTTAAAACACCCTGTTTTGGCAAAATAACGAATAAAATTCTTCACGGACTTTTTAATTCCAGATTACCTTATTTGTGTCTCTATGTAATAGAATGCTATATCATATATTGATAAAAATGAAACATAACTTAAATAAATCATATAATTAAAAACAGAGAAATAATGGAATACCAGCATCAAATAGTTGTAGTAAATGCGACTTTAGAACACAAAATTCAGTAAAGACAATCAACAGGAATCAAACAAAATACGGCGCGTAGAAAGTTTTCAACAATACATGCAAGAATAACAATTAGTAAATCGCTAAAAGCTGGCACCTACACACGTATAATTACAAGTGACATGAAGTTAGCGATCTATAGATCACTACGTGAAGTTGGTTCACACTACCACCCTCGTGATCGAGTACACGGATACTACGAAATCATTGGACACTCTTGCATTGTCGTATTCCAAGTGCGCATGAAAAAGATGGTGGATAGGAAATAGGGTCACAATATTTAGTATCGAATGTTTCGTGTTTTTAAGAGAAATTCATTCGATATAGTGTAAGTTCCTTTGTCTTACGCGTGAATCCGCAAACCGAGAATGGGTTCGAATAAACGGCACAAGAACGATAAGAGTCGGGACGTCAAGAAGAAGCGTCACCGAAGCCGTTCACGAAGTTACACGCCTGAACGCGAGAAATCCGAAAAGCACAGGCATCACAAAAAGCATAGAAGGAAAGAACGCAAGGATTATGACAGTGATGGTTATTATCTGATTCATTCTTTTTAAGCTCTATACGAATACGTTGTACGGTGACTTCTACCTGATATACATATGTACCGCTTGTTCCATTGTAAATTAAGTTATGGTTGTCGTTTTCCGGGCATGTATCGTGTTGACGAGCAATTAAATCGTTGAACTACGTACGTCTTTCTGTTTAACTGTCCGCGGTTTCGAGAATAAGATAATGTATTTCATCTCCGCAGAAAAAAAGCGAACTTATTGATTTCTCAAGTACAAGATTAAATAATTTGGAGGATATCAAAGCGAATAATATTTATATCTTGCATAGGTACATAAGCGTTTTCTATGATGAGCCTATGATATTTAATATCAGTTAATCCTGCCTTGTGTTTCATTTCAGTCGAAATAATTAATGCACCTCCTCCACCAAAAATCTCTAAATCTTCGCATCTGTCGACACCCCCACCTCCTGAAATTTCTAAACAGCGTAGCCCCTCACCCGTGAACAAAGGTGGTGGAGCACAGAACTCCCTGTCTATTGAAGAGACAAACAAATTGCGGGCAAAACTAGGTCTCAAACCACTGGAAGTTGACAGTGCCCCAAAAGATGATCCGAATAAGATTAAGGATGACTTGGGAGAGTTTTATCATAAGCCTGCTCCTGATGTTAACGAAAAGTTGAGAACGCAAAAATTGAAAGAGAAGATTGGTACCCAGAAACAGAAAAGATTAATCGAGGCTAATCTAGCCAAAGTAAAATCTTTAGGTGAACATGATTCTGATGATGATACCAAAAATTGGATCGATAAAACCAGGCACTTGGAAGCAGAAAAGAAAAAAGCAGAAGAAAGGGTATTTATACAATAAACTATATATAAATAATATATGTAGAATTAATAATCTTCATTAATAAGTAATCTTCTTTCTATATATTGTTACGAACAGGCAAAAATGTTGGATCAGTTAGATGAAGAATTTGGTATAGGAAATTTGGTTAAAGAAGAGATGTATGCTGCTCGCAATACAGCGTATACAAACAAAAACTTGAAGGGTCTAAAAGTGGAGCATAATATTGTAAGTATTATAGGAATCTTCGAGAAATAGAACAATTAAATAACTACAAATAAATGGTATTTTATAGGAAAAATTTGAAGAGGGAAAGACAGTTATTTTGACGCTAAAAGATCAAGGAGTATTGGATGAGGGTGAAGATGTGCTCGTTAACGTGAATATAACAGACGAGGAACGTTATCAACGTAATATACTAAATAAAACTAAAAAGCCTGGTTACGACGCGTACGATGATGATAACTTCGATGAATTTGGTTTTCCAAAGAAAACGATTTTGGAAAAGTACGACGAAGAAATAGAAGGCGAGAAGAAAGACACCTTCGTCCTAGGGACTAATATTAGCAAGGAAATAAAACAGAACAAACTTGATTACGTAAAGCAACGTTTAGCGAACAAGCGGTTAGAAACGTTACAAATGGCAGAACCAAAATTAGCCAGCGAATACTATAATGAACAAGAACTTACGAAATTCAAGAAACCAAAGAAGAAAGTAAGTTTTTGTATTTAATTTTACTTTACCGTACCAACGTTTCGTCTTGTTGCAGGTTCGAAAGATTAGGAAAAAACTGAAAGCAGAGGATTTGATTCCTGAAGATAACGATTATCTTCGAGATCTTGGTAGTAGGAGAAGCAAGCGAACAGAAGATGTAGTAAAGGAAAATGATACTTTGGATGTAGACGATTTAGGAGGTATTTGACACGCTTTTTTGAGATATTACAATTGCTATTTGTTGTTATCATTAAACAAAATTTTTATATTTTTGCAAATTAAGCTCCCGCTGAAGATCTAAGTGGAATAAAATTGGAAGAAGATGATAAAGAATTAGATCTGCCAGTAGCTTTGAAGAAGGCTCAACGGCTCAAGGAATCGCAAGCGTCGAATATTGAAAAGGTAGTAGAAACCATAAAGCAAGAGCCAACGGGTTCTGAGGAGAATCAGTCTGGAAATATTGTCCTAAATGCTACTGCAGAATTTTGCCGAACTCTTGGAGATATTCCTACTTATGGTCTTGCTGGGAACAGAGAGGAGAACGATCAGGAATTGATGGTATCAGTTGTATTATTACATTATTTTCTCCCAATTCTCCTTTTTATAATACAAAATTGTGTTAACAAAACAGGATTTCGAGATGGATGGAGTCAAAGAAGAACCACCGATAAATGAGGAAGAGGATGATGGCCGTGGCGCATGGAATACCGTACAGCTGGGTAAATCTCTCTAATTATCCAAGCTCGTTATTGTATTTTTTCTAATTGTTGCTTCTTATGGATCAGATGAAAACACATCGGAACCAGTAGCAATGGAAGCTGCTATTTTAGACGCAGAACCTTCGCTTGGCCATGGTGTTGGCGGAGCATTGAAGCTCGCTATGAGCAAAGGTTATTTGCAAAAAGAGGATAGTAGTAGGCCATCGGCGTCTCGCTTTGCGCACTTGCAGGCACAGAATTACTCGATAGAAGACAAAACTTACGGGTATGTATGGAACATAGCCATCGTTCAATATAAGAAGCTTTCTTACACGTTCAGAAGAGGAGAAAGAGACCGATGTAAGAAATATTCTTTTATTGAATGTATACCGAACACGAACATTAGACGAGTCTCTAGTGAATTTCAAACTGTTAGTTAACAGTCGTAAATAGAGAGCCCAGATTTCGGTGCTCGGAAAATGGATGATCCGCTACCGCAACGAGAGATTATACTACTTTGTCGGAGATGGTCAAAGGCCCGAGAAGAGAGTAGGATTTAATAGAGGTATGTTTATATTATGCGATTCTATTGTTCCAAACGAGATCCGTACAAGTATTCTGGACAAGTCCAATGATGGATCGAGGTTGCTTGATTTGTAAGAAAACAGATTTTCTTATATCAATTATGAAATGTACGCATAGTTTCATTTTACTATATTCTTGCACTTGCATGTTTAAAGATATAAAGTAATATTTAGCATAAAACTTCTAAGCAATTTTAGTACAAACTCAAATTTGTCCTCAATTACGTACGCACATGTTCTAAAAATTCATCTCGCAAAGATAAATGATAAACCGTATTTTATAAAGGTATTTAACTGCGATTTACTTGTTCACTACTATACTATCGACTTGTTTAGATTCCTGTTGAATTTAATCGCATAATGTAATGTATCTGGAGAACGTAACAATATTTTCCTTTTTTTGTTCGAGGTAACATAAATTTTCGAAACACCGAATTCTATGGGCTGCTTTATAAAGTACTGAATTTAAACCAAGCGTGCCGCCTGTGTCGTGAACAAAAGATTCTATCTCTCACTTTTCATTTTTTAGCGATGACGATAAATTTGGCAGACGGGATCGTTTTAACGGTCCCACATCTGAGTTCAAGGAGAAGGATGGCTTTAAACCGAACGTAAAGCTAGAGTACATCGACGACGATGGCCACGTTTTAAGTGCGAAGGAAGCTTTCCGTTATCTGTCACACAAGTTCCATGGAAAAGGTCCAGGAAAGAATAAGGTCTACATTTTTTATTTTTAAACTCTTTCCCTTTCCAATCTTGAGAATGGAGCCTTAATAGAATTCTGTGATTTACTTAGGTCGAGAAGCGAATGAAAAAAGCGGAACAAGAAGTTCTGATGAAACGGATGTCATCTACGGATACGCCGTTGGGTACGCTTAATTTACTGCAAGCGAAACAGAAAGAAACTCAATCGCCATACATAGTACTCAGCGGAAGCAAGCAAATGCAGACGTAAGTGAATTTCATTCTGTTACCATACGGTTTAAAAGAATGCTTCAGAAAAACGATCATTTTTTTCTTTCAGGACTAGCATATCGAAGTCGAAGCATTAATACTTTCTTTAAACAAGAATTGTACATAATATAGGAGCAAATCAAATTGATACATTTTTCCAAACAAAATAATAATCGTGGAAATATTGCACATTCTTCGTTTGATTTGTTAATATACGTACACGATAATAAAGAATTGTGAATTGTGAAACGTGGGCTAATCTATCTCCTCATACCTCACTGAATTTTAGTAATATAATTGTTTATTTTTTATATTTCAAGTTTTCTTATAAGGGAACATTATATTTTTACTTTTGTAAATGATATGATCGAAGTCATTCGTATTTTACAGGAAGATCTATAAGATTATGTACATTACAAGTTAAATATGCTACTTTGATAGACGATACAATTGTCGAAAAAATTATTTACATTTCCTCGTCGTATATGTATATATAAAACAGTATAAACTCATATTTTGTCGCATTCTGTTTTGACCAGGACGGTCACGCTACCGTCTCGTTTAAAATAATCCTTATTTTAATCAAATAAATTGACTGCTGCTATCACAATAAAATTAAGTGTGGGTAATGAACGACCTTCACGACTCCGTATTACTTAGCTTCTACCGACATTAAAATAATACTATTTCTATATACTAACAGTAACATGTGCATAAAAGTTATAAATATTTTGTTAACTTCTTAATTATCAATCACAATACACGATTAGTCCCTACTTATCTACCCGTACAAATTGCTCTACATGGAAGATAGCAATTTTAATACTATAAAATATTTTAATCCTTCTAGTATTTCCTATGTAAACTCTTGCTGAAACGTTCTTCGTTTTAATCCCATGTTCTTTCCTCTTTTCATTAATCGATAGATACGATGTGTTACAGTTCGGATAAAAATATTCGTCTCGTACGAAAATGATCACAATGAAACGTACGATGGTAGTACAACTCACTACCGATATTATTTTCGAGTATATTTTATAAACTACGGCAATATCATATCAGAAAAAACGACTCGTTCTTATGAGAACAATGAATGGCATTAAATATACATATATCCCTGATATCACAAGGCCCTCCTTTGTGCAAAAATATTTTAAAGTAGTAGTAATACTTAATTTCTCGAATCTTACACGGTGCACGATAATCTTATAAATTATTTACATTACGTGTAAATATATGTCCAACATATAGACGATATACATTTACATCTCTTTATATCTCGTCCATCCTACTCACTATCTTTAATGTTTTTTCATTTTCTCTTTTTTGGAAAGTTTGGCACTTTTCTCGACAGTTTGCACAAAAGTAATAGGAATTTTTTGTATAGGATGCAATCGTTTTAGTATTATTCAGCTATCCTTCTGAAAATAGTATTTCTCTTTCCGTTAAAAACGTTTCCCGTCGGTGACCAAAAGTATCAGGCAACTACTCGCTAACAAAATAAGCACGTTATTAATCGAATGAACAACGCTCATGCTTTCATTCATTATTTATTTCTGAAAAGAATTCCTATTAATTTTGTAACATAATGTACATCTTGATATTTACAGATATGACTCGTCTACCAGCTGGATTCTAAGAAATTTAATCTCGCATAAGTAATACGTTGCACATCGAATAATAAATTTGTAATAAATTAAACTTTAATAATAATTATCTACAATAGTACCGTCGAACAAAAATACAACAGTTAATTACCTATTGTGTTACCGATGCAGCGAATAAATTTCTTATCACCAGCAGTTTGTATTCCGTATTCAAGGAAAGATTTCCTCCATAATCTTTTCTACCATTCAAATATACTCTACACGAATTAGATAAATACTTTTGATAGGTACTCTAACTTGCTGTCTCTTTCTAATCCCTCATCTTTAGCGTCTATACATACACGTACTAATATATCCAATAATCCGCCAAGTTTATACATGTAGTAATATGTATATATATTATAAATTGACTTTGTTATTTTTCATTCTCTCGCGTAGTCCGTATAATGTTAAGATCATTGGTACAAGTAAAAGAGGAAGTGCAAACGATCTCTCAATCGATGCCTATTGACAATACGCTTCTTACGAACGAGACGACTCATTAAAATATGAAAAATGATCACGGCCGTATCAAAAAGTATTTGTATAAGAGAGAACAATGCGCGTGTACGAAACGTAGAAGTAAAATCGAGAATCACGTTCCAAGTCCCCGCTTGCTTTTAGTTAGCTTTTCGGGTAGACCTTTCTCAAGTTAGATACTTTCCAAGGTATCTTTCTTGAGCGCAACATCATCAGCAATTGTTATCTGTTCAACGTCTCCATATTCTGGCTTTGAGGATTCTTGCTAACGGAGTTGTCCTCTTGTCCGCTCGGGCTCGGAAGCCTGCCTGGTTTTATCGACTTTAATTTCGTCGTCCCACCGTATCTGAAGTTTACGTCGCTGCAAGTGTCCAACGGATGTACCGTTCCCGTCAGATTCGTCACGTTATCATCGTTCGTGACCTCCAGCTTAGTAGTCGGCACTTTCTTTACAGATCCTAACTCGTACGCCGATTTGGACGACTTCAGCTTCATCTTCATGTTCAATGGTAACGAGACCGACTTTTCTATGTTCGGCGATTGTATCTTAAGATGGTTATCGTTCTGCGTTATTTGCTCGTTCGTCGGAGTCACCGGATCTCCGGTAATCTGTATGTCTATATTGACCGTCTTCGGATCGTTCTCATCATTTCTGGCAGGTATTTGTTCGTTCGCGTACTCGTTTCTGAGCGCGGCCAATTGCGCCCGTTGTTTTTGTATATGATTGTGCGAGTTAGAGAAGAACGACGAGACCCTTTCTAGTTTTGTGGCCAAGTTCGGTTGGCTGAGAGTGGATTTGAGAGGATATGGAGCATCCGCAACGTTATTGTTCTTTAACATAGTGTGAGATTCCCTGCCCGTGGAATTACTTTTGATCATTCCCATCTTATTGTTGTCTTCGATCACTTTCAGGGGATAAGATTTGATGCTCGTGCTCCTTCGTTTCTCGGCTAGACTCAGCTGGGCGATGATCCGACGGATCTCGCCGGGGAACTCGATGTCCGGACGCGTTTCGGATAGCTGTTGAATGAATGTACCCAACGTAGCGACAGTCACCTCTAGGCTACGATTTTGTGACTCGAGTTTCATCAGAGTCGATTGTTGCACGGATCTTGCTGTCTCCAATCGGTGCAAGTTGCTCATAGCAATTTCAAGTTGTTCGTTAAGTTGCTCTCTTTCTTGTGTCAACTGCTTGTTGTGCATTTTGTACTTCTCCAATGATTCGATTTGTGGTTTCACCGATATCATTTCCTCTTGTAATACTTGGTACTCTACTCTGTACTCGTTCAATTGTTTCGTAATCTCTTGATCCGGATAAAATACGCGTTTCATTACTCGATCCAGAATCTCTTTATCCACAGCCGGCACTCGAGTTTTTAAATACTCCATAATCTCTTCGAAACTGTCGCACATTAATAACTGATCCTGATGCTCCTCCAATAGCGCCATCGATACTCGGAAAAGTACCTCTGTACTTTCCAGGAAAAGTAGATCAAAAACTCTGGTTACGAAACCGAGCGGAAATTGACTGGCGAACAAGGTCAAGAGCCACGGAGCGGCGTACAACGTAGGCGAAACTTCATGTTTGTCAAAATGATTATACATCGAAGGTAGCCTGTCGTGCAACAGCCTGGATAATTGATACAGGTACAATTGTAAAGCCGCCATATCGGGAAGATACAATTTCCTTAGGCCTCTTCGAAACATCAAGTGCCGTAGGAGGAAAAACGCCTGATCCTCGGACATGTGAAGAAGCAGAACACCAGCAACGAAACTAAGACCCTGGCAATATCCGACTTCGTGATCCAAAAGCGAGTACGCTTTCAGCAAATTGAACAATGCTAACTGTCCTGGTCCTAGAGGTGAGCTGAAGTACGGATGATTCGGAAAAGTTCGTCCCAGGTCTATTAAAATCGCATGTTGCTGGGACGTGAGTTGTTTCAAAAGTAATTCATACGGTGTATTGTAATTAGGGAAGTCGTGTGTGTCTATGGGTGGTTGTTTCAAGCAAAATTGTTCAGCCAAAAATTGCCACACTTCTCCCCTTTTCCCTTTCGGTACACCTGCAGCGAGAAAAGTTATAATTAAATCTCAAGTTGCATTGTTTGTTCATAAGAAATATTTATAATTATTTTACCTTGTTTTATAGCGTGTAAAAGCATTTGATTATCACATTTCGTGGATACTCTTGATTCCTTGCTCACAAGAAGATCCCACACTTCCACTAATTCGCGCGCACAACTGCTGAGTTCGTCGTATTCTAATTTTATTCTCTTCACGGTCGCTTCTTCCTGACGTACTGGAATCGAATACATTTTTACGTCAATTGTTAAATGAAAATAAATATACCGGTCACCATCAATTTTTAGTAAGACTGTGTACAGTTCCGCTCACTAACAGTGACCAGTATAAACTGCGAATACGTATGATAACATACGAGAGATAACAGATTGCGAAACCATAGTGGGGATACATAGCATGAAATATGTGCTTATAATGATCTATTCATTCACAAAAGCGGAAATGAGAATTGCAAAATCGATAATTACCTCTAAGCCTTGCATTTTCTTTCTCCATTCTTATGAGGATTACCTGCTGATTAATTGCTTTCTTCCAAAGATCTCTTAATTCTTGTTTTGTCCTGCGTTTCGGAATTGCCTCAGGCGTTTTAATTCCAATTTCTTCGTTTTTATTTTCTTTGTCATGATCCTTATTAGGTGTTACAACACGGTTTAATATCGCCTGTCTCCACGAACCGTTATTCTGTACAGGACTATTCCCGTCCGCCTCGGTCGGCGACATTTTCGGAGAATTTCCTACTTTCAGAAATCTGATCGAGAAACATAATAAAAAAAACCGTAATGCAAAATGAAGTAGAAAGAATTATACGTTTTTCTTACGCTTTCGTCGAAAATTATACGTACATGTCCATCATAGAACTCTTTGGTCCAGTGCTCACAGTCAATTGCTGTTCAGGCGAGACTCTCAGAGACCTGGGTCTGCTCGCGTCCGGCGAAATATCCACTATGGACGATTGTCGCGAATTTTCAGGGCTTTGGCTACCGCTTTTTTGTATCACAGCGTTGAGGTGGTTCGCATCCTTGAGGTGAGCAAGCCCGAGGTCGTCCCGCGACCCCTTTCTCTTCATGAGATTATCGAAGCTATTAGTAAGCGATCGCTTCGCTTTCATGAATATCGCGCTTCCGACGCCCACGCTTAAGTACTGATTAAGAAATTCGCTCCTACAAAATGTATGATATTGAAAAATTTTCAAATCTTTTAGTTTCGATGAATATGAAAACGAAAATATCCAAAGAACAACCATACCTATTCTCAGCCGTGTCGTGGACGTGTCTAGCCTGTTTTGCTTCGCAGTGAGCGCGCAACAGCCTTATCAAAAATTGATTTTGCTCGCGTAGAGTTGTCCCCGTAGCTCCGGCGGCCTCCGCGCATTTGTACTTATTAACGACCATCTCCTGTTCTTCCTCTGGCAGCATTTCCATCCGCGCGAAAATTATATTTTGAGTCTTTCTGTCATTTTGTCCTGTAGGCGAACACGCGAACTCGTTATTTGCAATTTCGTTGCAGATTTAGATGGAACAGATAAACGAGATCGGTAAACTACCTTCGATTTCATGGCACAACTTGTTGTACCAATACATGGGGCAGTGTTCGCATGAAAACACGGAATACTGTTCCTTCCTTGGAACATCGCACGTTCCAACGAATGCTTGTGAAATCGCTGAAATGAAAGAAAACTCGAAGTAATCTTTACGAAATCATTAAATTCAGATTTTTACTTTTAAGTTGATTAGAAACAATGAAAAATACAAGGAAAACCTCTTACCAGCGACGAGATCGTCCGCAACCGATTCCGATTGGCACTTGAACACATATCCGGTAAAGCCCACATAATTCTCTTTGCAAATAAAACCAAAATGTTCCGGATGTTGGATACCCTGGATGCAACTCGCAACATCCTTAAGCTGCTTATGAAGCAGCACCTGCTTCCTGTCCGGGCTGATCAATCTCAGATCATGTCGGCCTACCTGAAATTCAATCTCAAATGAGTATACGCTTTTATTAGAGTAGTGTGTATGAAACGTCGTCTTCAAAGATAGCAATTTCATGCACTGTTAGCATTGCAAATAATTCCATTAATCTAGCTAGATTCTACGGATTGCGAATAAATGAAATAATTTCGAACCTGGAAGAGCATCGTGCGATTATGTTCATCGCCGCTACCCCTCGCTATGGAATCTCTCCTAGCGTTGAGCACGCTGCCCGTGGAGGAAGCCCGATTTCGCATAACTTCCGGCACTTGCATGGCGTAGTTATTATTATTATTCGCGGCATCACGATTCTCCCCGTCCTTCTCCGTAAGACTAGCGTTTTGCGGCTTTGGAAACGTTTCCACGGATCCGGTGAGCGTCGACGGCACGTCCAGCGGGTTAACCGGCGATATAATTGCGTTGCCAGAGACATTTTCGATACTCCCGGTCTCGCTGGTACTTGATTCCTAATGCAAACGGTTGGAATAATTTTCATATAAAAATTAACAAACGAGTTAATACAGAAATAAAGAGGAGCAGGATGGTTTACCGTGCTATTTCTCCTGTTATTGGAAGACGCTAGCGACTGACGCTGATACTCAGCGAGAAGATTACTCGTCGACGATTTCGACGACTTTTCAAGATTACGTACGCGAAACCTTAATAGCGCATCGTCGATGAACGACTCCGAAACTCTCGGATGCGTTACTGTGATTTTTCCCACGTAAAGCACCTGCGAGCAAACATCAGTTATAGATCTTCACTTCCGGAAATTACAATTAATTTTACTTGTACCAAAAATATCGAACTAAAGAGGAGATCGTATTTGTACTTACTTCAAAGAAATGGGAAGAGCTTGGAGATATGTCAGCACCGAGAGACATCAAGCTGGCCGCACTGCTCTGCGATTTCTGAGGCACATCCCTGCCTTCAAATCGGGACGGTGCCGAGTGTTCTTTCATGTCTCTCAGGTATTGCTGAATCTGGGGAACAGAAAGGAGTATAGAATCGCGGCGGATCCTCGTGACGCGAGGCATCGTATGTTATTACAGTAATTAGACTGCAAATTAATCCTCGTCACGCGACAAACAACAGACAGCAAATTGCGTTCTCAATCTTCGATCACGACTGCAGTCGTTGCACTCCGCGATAGTAAATTTATTATTTTCTAAAGATAGTCTTACTGATAATACAAGGTTGAAATATGCACCAGTAATGCACCCATTTACACGATTTACGTAGCTATGAGATACGTCATAGCACGTATATCATCGTAAATACATATCCGCGAAGAAAATTCAGCCCAGAAATAATCCAGGCCGTAGCATCTGAAGCACGGCCATTAATATACAAAACGTATTTCGCAAGGAAACGTACACCAAACGTGGCCGATGGCCGTGGACGAAAATAAATTTTGGGAGCGCTCGTCGACAGCGTGGTTCCCTCCTCTTTCCCTCGAGCATTTATCTTTCCTCTTTCATTTCCTAAATTGATTTCAAATCTCTCTGAATCACGCATACGGTTGCATAAAAAAAAAAATAGATTAAAAAAGATGTAGATAAAAGGAAGAATGAATTCTATTCGATTGATATGAAATTCGAGGAATAGGCGGAAAAAGGTGGGCAATCAATCATCGACATAAACGCTCCTGACGTTGCAGGCGACGATAAGACCAAACAATTTATTATGCAAACCTGCAGCTATATCCGACGAGACGTAATTAATAAACGACGGAGTTTTATGAAAAATAAAACGTTTATCAATTTAAAAAATATGACTTGTATAGAAATTTTTGTTTTAAAATTGTACACAACTGATATTTCATATATTTTATATATATTGAGTGAGTTCTTTATAATTTATACATATTCAATCTTTTTATGAATGCATTAAAATAATCTGGTGATTAACGAACCGGATGCAAGATGACGCGATCGATCGGGAAACAATTTATACATAAAAGAAGCGAGATAATGTTCGATGGATCGTTATCTTGACGACCGTGAGAGGTCTTCGATAGAGGATCTATAGTAGCCGAAGCGTGGTTGTGTTGCTGACACAGAAAGCATATCGGCGCAAACCAGCGGGGCTTCCTTCATCCAATTACAAGACGACTTTTCTTTTTATTATCTACGCGGCCCTTACTCTTTCTACAAAATATCTATATAAATACGTGTGTGCGACACTTGATCACACGTCTGGCAATAAATCTAAAAACAAGTAGATATAAATAGTAAAGCATGTGCTATAAAGCAATTGTGATTTAATGAATTCAACTTCTTCATATAATGAATCAAGCTTTTAAATATCTGGAATTAGTTTGTTAAACAAAACTGGAGAATGATTAATTGAAAAAGAAGCCACGAGAGCAATAATTTATATTCAGACAGGAACATAACTATTATTGCAGTAAATTATCATGTCTATCGAATTGTAAATCGCGATTTAGCTAAAGACAGCTCATTTCTTGCAGTATTTTTTACAGTGACAGTACTTTAGAACTCGGACGATTATACGCGACAAAAAAACATTTGCATTGAACACTATCAATAACAATTGATTTCTTATCATGAGACAAAAAACCCTGTATAACATTCTTCCCTGTGGCAGAGTTCAGAGTGACAAGTATAATGATCTTCATACAGCAATCAAGTAGCAGAGCAAAAAGAGTGACAAGTATAATGATCTTCATACAGCAATTTAAAGCAATCAATAAATCTTCATTGTAAAAGCAAATTAAAGTGACGAAAACCTGTAGATTAACAATATAATTTCTTATCTTATTTGTTATTTACTACATGTGTCATTGCACGATAGCGATCCGATATTCCTTTTTATCTTCTTTAATGGAATAGTAGATTGCAATCAATTGTCCTCCCGATAACCGAATGAAAATCTATTGGACGTACGTTTCAACTATAAATAATCGCGACTCGTTCCGCTTCAATTTCCAATTCCCACGTTCATTGTATTGGCTCTGTCTATTAATACTATCAGGAAGAATCGCGAAATTCATTCAAGGTTCCTTAGGCACATATCGTTAACAGATGTTCCTTCCTTGCATTTGTTGATACTCGCTCACTTACAATTGATCAATTCGCGGTGCACACAGTCGTAACAGCACGCGTGATCATCAGAAGCGAAGCACGGGGCCGCGTCGTGATGCCGCGCGATTGAATCCACGTGGAAAATTAGATTGAACGTCTTCGGTGGCCGACCCGCGATGAACCCTTTTCATCGGGTCGCGGTTAAACGGAGCGGAGGCACACCATCCGTCCATTTCGCAAAGCCTCTCGAACCAAGGACACTCCGGCTCGCATGATCGAAGATCGTGGGAAAAAGAGACGCTGCCGGAGAAATCGTTTCCGTCCCTCTTTCCGGTACTTCGCCTCTTCGCCAGCCAGGGATTAATGAGAGTCAAGTTCGTGTACGTGAATACACGTATCCGTGTGAAGGAGTCGACGGTGATATCCTTATTTTAACAATCGGGATTCTTCTCGACCGTCAATCTTTTTCAATACGTGTAAGGGTCTCGGGAATGAAACGGGGACGCAGAATTATTCTTTATTCGAGAACATAATTGCAGTTATTGTCGGCAGACGAGACGTACGCGATTGTTTTAACTTGGGAGACTCGACAATATGCTATGATGAAATTTAATTTGAAAATTCCAATGCGAGACGAATGGTGTCGCGACTCTATTGAACTTCTTAATCGTCTAATGATTATTTCTTGCGCGTGCGGCTATCCATCGTTGCAAGTGCACATTGTAGCTAGCTAGTCTCGAGAACGGGACGCGTGTTTCGCGGTTGTAATTCAAAGGACATGATGTACGTTCACGGAATTCGTAGAATAACTTTTTACATCCGTTCCTAAATAATGACGACTCCTTCTCTAATTGATAGCCACCGCATGGAGATTATGTAAATCCACCGTCAAGTATTCATTATTAATTGACGGATGAGTAGAAATTTAATGGAAACTATGTCAACCGTGATTAAAAACCTTTCATGAACGACAATAAATACAGATCTATTCATCTCTTTACGGAAGTGACAAGCCTCTTTTATAGAATTTTTATCGTGTAATTAGCAGGATTATGTAAAATCACATTTTACGCACGATGCAATAAAAAGCATGTAACATACTATCATGTTATTTTATGTTAAACATTAATCGCAGATAAAAATCGTAATAGATAGGTGCAGCTTAGAAGCGAAGATCAGATTGCAGACTTTTACAAGCAACCTGAAGCATTCGTGGTATCAATTTTAAAAGATATGATTCAGATACGAGTTTCTTTCATCATTTAAATATTGTGATATGTTTATGCACGTGCTATTTATATGTCAGAAATGATTACTGAAGTACAAACCAGGATAAATTATTATTTTCGGCAGTCGGAGCTAAGCGTTCCGTAACATTGAAACTACACAAGTGCGTTCATTTATGGAACTTCTGCGCGAAAAGGAACGAGAGCGTTTTCATGCGTGCCAGGTGTCGACCATAATTAAACCCTAATTGCCGTGGCTCGGTTTAATTTGATTTGACTTGCTAGGAGAAAAGGGAGAAGAAAGATCGCGTCGATGGCCATGCGAGTCGTAAGGTCTTTGATCCTGGTTGACACAGTTTCCCATTGAAATGCCGTAGAACGCGTCGCACGACATGTCTGTCTGGCCGGGTACGCTTTTTTTTACAGATTAAAATAAGCTTGTTCGACGACCAGGCGCCATAAACCAGCGTGCATAAATTTTCTTCCGTTCAGAGTTTCAAGTATATCGCGGACATTTTAATAGACATTCCATTCAATTCGCCCGCCGTCATAAATCATTCAAAGTCAATCCTTTACTCGATTCAACGATCAGACCTTAGATTACCAGCTATCGAAAAATCTGACCGATGTGGATTAAATCTGGAGTTGATTACTGTAGTTATTTTCTAAATCGATTGTTTTTGTTACAAGATACGCGCACGGCTCGAAACTAGTTTCTTCGCGTGTAAAAAAGGTGATCGTTAAAGCGTGATCTTATTAAGGCGATTATAGTGGTTGTGGTTTCTGAAGTAAAGTGACGATAACAAGGTGTAACAGTTTTCTGGCCAGCAGCAGGGGATCGCGTTACCCCGATCGACGCGACTGCTTGTTTCGAGCTTAATGTTAATTTGGTCACGTACACAGACATGTTACATTCTTTCGCTTTCTTCTTTTATTGCCGCTTTAGAGTACAGTCGTACGTGCAACAAGCGTCCCATGTCCCCTTGTACACTTTACGTTACACCACATCTCGAGGCTAGTTCTTGTTAGAGCCACGTCCAAAGGAAACAAGACAGCACGCGTATTTATCACCTATTATAATTTTCTTTCGCGAATTTATTGCATGTTTACTCATCTTTGCTGGCATCCAAAGTGTTAAGGCCTACCTAAAGTTACTATCACAGTGAAAACATTCCTATCTGTCTTTGTCTATCATTCATATACAATAGCAAAGATTACATAAACTTGTTTTGACAGAATAATTGGAATCAAACGATTATTACTGGTAAACAGTAATGTGCTGGTACAGTGACTGTAACGTCTGATAAATTAAGCAAGAGCCGATACAAGACGTAGGAAAAATTTGCGTGACAGGTGGCCCGTTAATATCCGAGTAATTAATTCACAGGTGACACAATCGGTTAAATGAAAGAAGAAAAACGAGTTAATGGCGGTAAAACAAGTTACCTAAAAATCGTAAGACTAGTAGTATTTAAGGATGTATTGGTTATACAGTCAATCCCAAAAGTTCATGTATCTTAGAAAAACGCATTTCCTATAATTAAAAAGAAATCAGACGTCGGAAGAATAATGCTAATAATAAATAGCTACGTGCTAAAAAGTATAGAAGGAAATATCCAATTAAGTATTGACGAAAAATCGAAAATTTTTTTTGTTGTTTATTATTAGCAATGTTCTGCCGACGTCTGATTTCTTTTTAAGAAATGCGTTTCTAAAGTGCATAAACTTTTGAGATTGACTGTATAGCTAATACATCCTTAAGATAGTACATATAAGCAAGGGTTCGTTTATTCATGGAAGTATCAGCAGCGACAAGCTGTCTGCATATAATTAGACTTGCGTTGGCTTACAATACATTTTCAGCCGAATTCATCTGCATTCTCTGACCAACTGCCATTGAAACAGCAAGTTGGCTACTCGACAAGTTACTCATATTCCGAAAATGATTAATACAAAAGCTCATATTTCTAATCCTCGCCTATCCACCATTTCCCTGGCACAAATTCCAAACGTCAAACGATTCTAAGAAGCCGTGAGCTTCGATTTTTGGTTTTATTTTTATGAAAATATTGAGCAAGCTCTCTGTCGTTCTTCTTCTAAGCTCGAGATGTTAATCAATGTCATCTTCCGCGGTCGTCATTGGAAATTCGAGGAAATGTCGGGAATCACGAGAACGGACGCCGATACGTGATCGAAATACCATAACTTTGGCACGGGTCTCACGGATACCGTCGAAATTCGTGAGGGAACTCGAAACACAGCGTATGTAGGTAATCGTTACCGTAGCCTCGCGTTTATTACGTGCATATGCGAAATTCTGGATTTTACCGGAATCGCACGCGTTGCAGTGACATCGGTCACATGTTTCCAATTAGCACGTTTCCAGCAACGCACTGCAACTTTTGTATAATTGACACCCGAAGATGCTTCTGCTGGACTTTTACAAGATACTCGTAGAATGTACGTCGAATACCACATGAAATGTATTGTCTTGAACCGTATGAAACATCGTTCGTTTCTGAATTTTACATCTTCCACAAAGAAATTATCGAAAAATTCTTTTGTATTTAATGTTCAGTTGTATCTGTTCAGGAATATTTGTTACATTTACAAAGGACGATATTTCATCTAATAAAAAGGTAAGATACGGAAAGTGTAGAAGCAATTCAGGTCGTCGTTATTAAAATGCACTTCTTATCGGATTTTATAAAGGTCTCGTTTTTATTAAGGGTCGTCATGAAAAATCTTACCGATGTAACGTGGGAACGTTGTTAATTCTGAAAGAGGAACAGACAATTGCTTGTGTCGCGTATCTGGAAACGTCGCGGTGAGCAGTCACGAAATAATTACGCGGTACTTGATTTAGACGCGATTTCGTAGTTTACGTAACTTTCACCGTCGCGTGCAAGGTGGAGGTGAAAACGCAACGGTATTCTTAGACCCGTAGTCGGCCCGTCGCATCGCGTCCAAGAAATAATCGCGATGGCCCAACGCAGCGGCGATTTTTTTCGCGTAATAAATGGTGACACGGTCAGTCAACGGATGCTGGCAACGGGAACAGGGATTCCTGGTCGCGCTGCCGTCGTTGTAAATTTAGCTTTACAGTGCTTTTGGTTCCACGAACTTTCTCGACGACCAGCAACCACGATGAACGGAAACGAGAAGAAAGGGAGACAAGTCTCCAGAGGCTAGAGAGCTTGTTAAGATGCGGATCAGTCGTGGAAGAAAAAAAACCGAGCGTATAATCTTTGTTAACCACGATAAGGATGAACAATGAACGTGGAAGTTGTAAAGAATAGCGGCGAGCATATTCGTGGCGAAATATCGATATTAACAGAACATCTTGTATCCGACGTCGTGCGATCGATCGGTTGAAACTTTAAAGTAGGAACAGGAAATACGGTCTCTTCCGGAATTAATTATTTTTACTTTCTGAGACGCTATTACATTTCGACAAGGTGATAAGTAAAATCCCGTTGTTCGACAGATCCTTTGTAATTTACTTAAAATTAAATGCCAACCCGTGAAACCCAATAAGCAGCATAATTCTCACGATACGCATCTCCCGCCGAGAATTAATAACTTATCTTCTTGAACAACAAAGCCTTTAGCCTTATAAGTTCATTACCTAACATCTGATGCACATTCCTTCCTAACTAATTTCACATCCAGAGAATGCCTAATAAAATGTTACGACCTTTACTCAATAGCAGCGAAATAACATTGTGTTACGTGCGGGGGTCAACCTGATCGATCTATCCGCGATCTCGCAACACGCGCACGCAAATAAGCGGTTGTAAAAAATAAGAAGAGAACGGAAAACCCGTTCGCATGGCCTCGAGATTAAAAATCGGGCTACCAATGGTTTCTCGATCTACTCACTGCAGGCTTTTTGCCAATAGCGCTTGCATCGCTGTAGGACACAACCTTCGTGTAAGGCCTGGAAGCGGACATCGGCACGGTAATCATTTTGCCGGCTTGTTCCCATTCGACGGCCGAAAGTGATCGTATGCGAGGGCGGTCCCACGGCGTTCAATCGTCCGTAGATACAGTCAGATAGCTTCCGGTGGCGAGAATTCTCTTAAAAAGCTTCCCACAATTTAAGAGATTGATGACAGCCTTTTACACGATTTCAGGTGATTCTTCTGTTAATCCGTCATCTATTAGCTATAGCACTGATTCGGTTATGATAGTTTGACAAATAAGACTGCGTGCGTCTCTGATTTATTTTTCAGCGAACCGTCTGTTTTCAAGGGTGACTATGACAATCGGATTGCCTCTTCTAAGATGTGCAGCTATTTAATTGAATTGTTCTTGAGAACCTTCGACAGTCTCACACGGCACTACGAAAACGCGGAAAATCAATCTTCTTCGATAGTTCGTTCTAGGTCAAAGTTCGTTACCAGTATCCGTTTGTTCGATAAAATTCGTTGATCACAATCTTGTCTAATTCACCATTAGTTCAACGGTTAATTTATTCAAAGGCAATCTTCGTATCCGTTTCGTTCTAAGTATTTCACGGATTCCACGGAGAGGAGCTTGCGTTGACGACCGTTAGGTCCCGAAGCGAACGTAGTACTGATCTAATCGTGGATTAGCCGAGTGCACGAACTTTTCTATACGTATAGCCCGGTTGAAACGAAGTTGTTTTCAAGTAGACGGAATCTCGCAGCTGCACCTTTACCAACAGACGAGCAAACATCGACTGACGGCGTGACGTACCTCCGCGCCTAAGGAGACGACGAATTGACCTCACCGTTGCCTGCCGCGCGATTCCGGGTAACGAACATTCTTACGCAGAAAAAGGACTACTGTTAAAAGGGTCAACACAATCGATCTCTGGACTTCCGTCACCAAACTTGCGTCAAGCCTAATGATATTATCTCTCCACTCCTTAGTAGCGTCTACTGCTGTTTGCCAGCTGATGACACCTTAATTTGAGAGACTTTCTGGGGTGGTTTATAGGGGTGACAACGGTAGTGCTTTGGGGTAACGATCGAGCTCTCGGCAGTGTCAATAACTAATTCATACTTTTATTATTGTTCCAAGTCTTAAAACGATGTTACAAGAAGAATATATCTTAACAAGTATCCGGAATAGCGTATTTTCGTCTTGCGTTAGATTCGTTTCGCCTTAGATTCAATTGCGCGATGCACTTATGTAACGTTAAATCAATGGACATGATCGAAGGTTACCCGCGTATATTTCTATTTTCTCCGTGACGAACGGCAGCTGCTAGTCAATCAAGCGTGAACGGCGTTCAATAATTCATTAGTGGCGCGAAAACAATATTATAAACTTGTGAAACGGAGGATGTAACTGCGGCAGGTTAAGTATAAGGCAGTATAATTATAACGGTTACTTATTATCGAGACTTTCATTCAGGAAATGATCACCAAATAAATAAGCTTGGGAATCTTGGTTGAATGAATACGGTCCGCTTTGCACACAATGCATTTCTACTTCTGATTTCACCGTGATAAACGCACGTGTCTCTCCTTTTTGACTCGCTACAATGTACAATTAATTTCAGTTAAAATCAATTACGGATAAATTGCGGAGATGCTTCGCGTGTTTACCACCAAAGATCTAGCTCATGAAGATTTATGTTATTCAACTATTTATTGCATAATAAAAGTCGCCTCTCGACGAGATCTTGCCGCAGCCAGTCTAAATGAAGGAATAAAGAATAAGGCTAGGTAGGATTGGAAAGTGCGTCTAATTTAATATCATAAACATAACGATAAGTCGCGAGTAATAAAAAATTATTATAGCCAACGCTGACTGCGAAACGTGACAATTTCGTGGCACGTGAAACGTTCCTCGTGATGACCGTGATAAGAGAATGTAAATTAAACGTGAACGTGCTACCTTCGAAATTGTCTGCCGTTCCGATTTTTGAATCGCTTAATTTAGGAGTAACAATGCCAAAGCGTATCACCTATTCGTGAACCCTGCGATTTGCAAGTCAAACGAGACCCGTTCGATCGGATAAGAGAGCTTTTAAGGCGGTCATCTTGGAAATTTTGATCAATTCTTGCGTGCGGTTTTAAACGACACGTGCGTAGTCGTTCGCAGTTGGAAAAGAAGTGACGCCACATTTTGCTACACCTCGTTTACGTAAACAACAAAATTTAAATGCGATAAAATTGTTTGTTGATCGGTCGAACGTGCCAAGAAAGTGAAAAGCCTTCCCAAACAACGAAGGTTGTTCGAAACACGTGTTGCTCCCTCGAGGTCTTTCTTTATCGTTAGTAAACTGCGGACTCTATGCATTTATAAAATAATTAGTTGTGCAAAATATAAAAACTTTAGCTGTGATGCAGAAAAATATATAAAACATTAAAAGTGACTGCATATTGCAGTTTGAATGATGAATGAGATTCTAATTTAAATGCGTTATTAATTAAACTGGCTATTCTAAATGTTTTATTTTGCATAAAAATCCGCAGTCTAATCGTTAAGTCGTTGATGAAAGAGTAATTTATCTGGACGTTAGACTTGAAGACTGTTAAGTACGAATGATTGGAACTACAAAAAACTGATCCCTAGCAGTGAAAATTGGCAAGAACATCATTCCTAACCGATCAACACATATCTTATATTTTTAGACATGTTGATCCGTCAGTGTTTGCTCTCCAAGCTAATTCAGTAGCTTATACATATTTTATTGCCGTATGGAAAGGAATATGGCAAATGTTTACCGTTGTAAACCTTGTGCACGGATTTTGCAATCGCCCATAACGATTAAAAAGTGTAAATTGAGAACAAATAAATTTCCTCAATTCAGCGTGCAAGGAGGAAACAATTATCATCGCTTCAGTATAATTAAACCTGTTGCACTCATTAATTGCAACGTTCTTTTTTTTACGTAATCCAGCGATTAACAAAACTCACTAATTTTCACTTCTTTCGCAATAGAATGCACTGGAGTATTCCCTTGCAACTTTCAAAGTTCTAATAGTTACAGACTTCCGGTAGTCAAACTGCTTTTCGGTTGGATTCTATTGAAGGCATGTTGTAAGAGATCGTTCAGAACGAGTCCTCTTTGAAGAATTCTGAAAAGAGTCACTCGGGGAAGAAGACAGATGCAAGGTGTTACATAGTAAATTTGCTACGACAACGAGTTTTGGAAAAAAATACAGGCGCTAAGCAACCTGTTTACCGCGACGAGTTTTAATTATGTACGCATGACCAACGGATATCGTAAATTGCTACCAAGAAATTGGTACGTGCTTTTTAAATATTTTCTTCTCTTGAATGTTCGTTAAACTCGTATTAGCGCGTGAAACGAGCTTAGGAATTAATAAACCTGTTAAACTTAAAAGACACGGAGAAATTAACATAAATATTACATTAGATTCGACGTATTAATACTAGAATTTCCTATTCCTCTCTCGTAGTTAAACAGATTTGAAGAATTGAGGAAAAGTAAAAATACTCTATTTTAACAAGATAAGATAACGTTCTCAATCTTTCCTAATTCCTCACTAATGATAAGCCGGGAATATTATTACAAACAGGTATTAATGTTAGGTTACTGAATTTCTCTTTTTTCCTTTCGTTTGCATAACGAATTTATTGGTAATCGTGAAATACAAAAAGGTAAGACAATCTTCAGCAAAGCTTATCTTCAATTGGAAAGTTTTCTGGTATGCACCGGGACATGTAGACGCGTTTTAAAAAGTTCACGTGTTCCACTTCGTGTTTTATCCAATCGAGGTGTTATGAAAAATAGTAAATCGATCGCGGAGAGGAACCGGTTTGGCGTCGTTGCGTCATTGAACGATCAAGTATTTGTGTCGTTCGATGTAACAACGATTTTCATTCCGGATAATCGCGACTGTAATTATGGCGCGTACCGATGCACTTGCGGCGATCTCAAGGCCTTAACCCCGCCACTACACGTATAGAACAGAACGTATGCCGCGGACGTATTTCACGGCCAATGGAGGGGTGCTCGTTAAACGGTAATTTAACGGATCACGTAAGACTCGAGAGTCACCAATCGCTTCCCAATTAACCCTTTCTTTGCTCAACACAGCGACACGGCAATGTATGAATAACAGTAAATTGACTTGTATCACTTCAAACTCTCTGAATTATCCGTCGTTTAATCACACTGTCAAAGGGTTGCGAAGAGGCTACGGTAGCGAATCATGTGCATACGTCATCGTACATAAAATAGGTAATCAGGAACATAGTTGATAAGCATTTAATTAATGAATGAATACCCTGTTTAGATATGATACCTCGAGCTTTATTGCATTCTCAGATTAATAAATTTGAGCCGTGTAAAGACATTACTTATGACTAATACAAATGCTTCGAATGAAATAAGAAGCGAGATAAGTATAGCTATAGGTAAGTAGATACCAGTCCCTACAACGTTTACCAATATGGTGTAGAACAGTTTAGTTGGTGTAACCGCAGTAACAGTAGCCGGAGCTACTCTCTGCCGTTGGAATGCAATAAGAACATGTGCCCGTGCCAATGAACCATGGAAGGTCCTTTCGTTTCGTTTTCCTATTGTGATTGCGCAATCGTGATAATTGCATCCGTTTAGAATTTCGTTTCAACGCAACCTCGTTATCTTCATTCAACTTCTCAAATGTATTTGTTAATAATACATTTTACAGTGACGTCTCCACGACTATTTTAAGCCAGAAAATATAGCAGATCTACAATACAGGCAGCATAGAATCAGTACTGATTAAAGACTTCTGCGAATCATCTATTTTTCTTCCAGCTATTCGAGTCAAAGTGAGTACAACGTTCTACCTATCTATACACGTATATTATTAGTTTCCTTTCTGATCTTCGTTCCTGGAAAGTTCTTTCATTTATATCGCACTTTTATAAAATAGAATTATTTCATACGAAGTGAAATATTATAGTTAAATCAACTCGTAGCTCATTCTTCAGGGCCTTGGGTGGATATAATTTAGTTACTAACGAAGCATGACTGTTTTAAGCCAATTTTTACGTTATCTAACATCCTATGCCAAATGAGGGTCAAGTTCTGCAGACAATCTCCTTAGTAAAAGCTACTCTTTCTTATTTTTATAAAAAGAAACTGAAGTGATTAACAACTAAAAAAAAAGCAAAGCAGGGATGACCGATAATCAATTTCAGATAACACGAAATTAACGAGCGAAACGTGATTAAATCAGGGTGGTATCATCATAGCCAACGACGCTTTGTACTCCCAAGATTGGGTCAAGGACAGTACTCAAACTGCTCCATAATCTCGACGGTCCTTGTAACGAACCACGAAGATAAATAATGCAACATGCTTAAAAATGAAATACCTCCAGTCTACAGATAAAAGACCCCGATAACAGTTCTCGGTCATTTACATGAGTTTTAATAATATCGATTTTCGTTCTTCGAACACAAAATCGTCGATTCACTGCGGTTGACGTAGTGTTCTTTAATTTAACTTATCACGAAGATTTAAGATGCGCGATTATGTGTGAAACTAGTAATTATCAACTCGTTACGCGAACAACTTAATTGCCGGTTGAAACATGGGCTAAGAAAAGAATCGCGTTAACGAATGCAGATATAATGAGAAAATATAATCAATTTTTGTGCAATAATATAATTACTTAGAATATATTTTTCATTAAATTTCGTAGCAATTTGCCATAGTGCTGAATTGATTTTTCCACTGTGTTGCCAAAGAAAATAGGTTCTTAAACATATTTTATA